TTGAAAATCCCAACAGTGTTTCTGCAGAAATAGAAAAAGTCATCCTAAAATTCATGAAATGTGAATGAACCATGAATAGCCAATCCAATTTTGAAAAACAAGAAAAAAGTTGGAAGATTCACACGTCCTGATTTCAAAACTTACTACAAATTTACAGTAATCAAAACAATTACTACTGGCATAACAACAGGCATATAGACCAATGGAATTGAGAGGCCAGAAACAAATCTTCACATAAATTTTTTTTTTTTTTTGACGGAGTCTAGTTCTGTTGCCCAGGCTGGAGTGCAGTGGCGCAATCTCGCCTCACCGTGACCTCTACCTCCCAGGTTCAAGCGATTGTCCTGCCTCAGGCTCCCGAGAAGCTAGGATTACAGGCGTGTGCTACCACGCCTGGCTAAATTTTGTATTTTTAGTTGAGATGGGGTTTCGTCATGTTGGCCAGGCTGGTATCAAACTCCTGATCTCAGGTGTTCCACCCACCTTGGCCTCCCAAAGTGCTGGGATTACAGGCATGAGCCACTGTGTACGGTCTTTTTTTTTTTTTTTTTTTTTTAAAGAAAAACAGAGATGGGGTTTTGCTATGTTGACCAGGCTGGTCTTGAACTCCTGCCCAGGCTGGTCTGAAACTCCTGGACTCAAGCAATCCTCCTGCCTTAGCTTCCTGTATAGCTGGGACTACAGACTGGCTATTCATGGTTCATTCACATTTCATGCCACTGTGCCCAGGTCTAATTGATTTTTGACAGGGGTGTCAAGACCATTCAATGGGAAAGGACAGTGTTTTCAAAAAATGATCCTGGGAAAGCTGGATATCCACATGAAAAAGAATGAAGTTGGAGCCTTAACTTACACTATATACAAAAATTAACTCCAGATAGATCAAAGACCTAAACGTATTACAAAAGTTAAAACTATAAAACTCTCAGAAGAAAACGTATGAGAAAAGCTTCATGACATTGGTTTTGACAGTGATTTCTTGGATTATCACACCACAAACAACAACAAAAACCACATTACATTGGGCTTCATCAAAATTAAAAACTTTTGTACGTGAAAGGACACTGTATCAAGGGAGTGAAAAGGCAACAAACAGAATGCAAAAGTCTGCTAATCACATACACAATAAGGGATGAATATCCAGAATATGCAGAGAACGTCTACAACTTAAAAAAAAATTCAAAAGTGGGCAAAGGACGTGAAGAGACCTTTCTGCAAAGAAGATACATGAATAGCCAAGAAGCCCATGGAAAAATGCTCAACATTACCAATCGTTAGGCAAATCAAAACCACAATGAGATGCTACTTTACACATATTAGGATGGCTATTATCCAAAAGTACCAAAAATAACAGGTATTGGTGAAGATGTGGATAAACCGGAACCCTCTGTGTGCTGCTGGTCGGTGTGTAAATAAAATGGTGCAGCGACTGTGGAAAAGTTTGCTGGTTCCTCAAAAACTTAAACACAGATTTGCCATATGATCCAACAATTCTACACAGCAGCATTACTCATCATAACCCAAAGGTAGAAACAATCAAGCATCCATCAACAGATGAATGAATGTATAAAGAAAATGTGGCATTTACTTATGGAATATTTAGCCTTAAAAAAAGAATAAAATTCTGATACATATGACCACATGGATGAACCATGAAAAGATTTCATGGATGAACCATGAAAAGATTTCATGGATGAACCTTGAAATCCTTATGCTAAGCGAAGTAAGCCAGATATAAAAGGACAAATATTATATGATTCTACTATGAGTTACCTAGAATACGGAAATTCATAGAGACAGAAAGTAGAACAGAGGTTACCAGCATAGGGAGAGAGAAAAAAACGGGAAGGAACTGTTTCATGGGTATAGAGTTTCAGTTTGGGATGATAAAAATGCTCCAGACAAAATGGTGATGGTTGCGCAACAATGAGCATATACTTAATGCCACTGATTTGTACATTTAAAAGTGACTGAGGGTAAATTTTATACCATGTATATTTTGCCGCAGTTGGAAAAAAAAAAAGCTACAACCCTCCTGCAAGGGTATTTGGCAGTATCTAACCAAACTACACAACTTTTTTTAACCAAACAATCCCACTACCAGGAATTTTCCTGATGACATGTCTCCAACAATACAGAAAGACATACACATAACATTATTCACTGCAGCTTGTTTATAACTGCAAATATTGGGAATAACCTATATGCCCAACATAAGTAGAAGATAAAATAAAGTTGCTATATACAATGCTCTACTATGCAGCTATAAAATAAAAATGTGCTCTATGAATTGATATGGAATGGTTTCCAGGATATATATATATATTTTTTGAGACAGGGTCTCACTCTGTCACACAGACTGGAGAGTGCAATGGCCTGATCTCAGCTCATTGCAACCTCCACCTCCTGGTTTCAAGCGATTTTCATGCCTCACCCTCCCCAGTAGCTGGAATTATAGGCGCATGCTACCATGCCCTACTAATTTTTGTATTTTTAGCAGAGACGGAGTTTCGCCATGTTGCCCAGGCTGGTCTCAAACTCCTGACCTCAAGTGATCCGCCCACCTTGGCCTCCCAAAGTGCTGGGATTACAGGTGTGAGCCACTGCACCTGACCAGGATATACTTTTAAGTTGAAAAAATAAAGTGTAAAAGAATAATGCTGTCCTTCAAGTAAGAAAAAATGTCACATAAGAAAATACACATGTATCTGCTCATTTGTGCAAAAAGAAATCCAGAGAGAGGGTAGAAATGGAAGGCAGAGAATGAAGGAGTCAAGGACACTTCCAAGTGTCCCTCTTGGGATGTGGGCTCTCTAGGAACAACAGTTATGTTCCCAGAACCCCCACATAAAAACAATGTATAGAAACCATGATGTGGGGGCACAAAATGAAATATAAACCACTAGCCTGAGTAACTGGAAAACAGTATCTTGACAGTAAAACTAAACACAAAAAGAACTGTACATAAGGTACTTTGTTAGGAAATTTCTCAAAGGGATATGGATTAGCAATTGTGAAGTTACTTTTTGTGTATATTAGGATTAAACAAATTAATCCATTTTAGATAAGTTAGTCAGGTTTCTCTCTGTAAGATGAAGAAAGGGCTCCTTGGAAATACGGTTGATCTAGGGTTGGGTCAGAGAAAACACAAGTTGAGCCTGGTTCATCCAGAATTGCCATAAAGTAAGAAAATAATTAAAAAACTATTAATTGGGTACATTGAGAGGACACAGGAGGCAAACTGAAGGCGCTTCCAATGGCTGAAGCTTGGGTTTTGAGCAACAAAATAATGTTAGTATCATAGAAAAGTAACTTTTTTTGAGACATTCTCACTCTGGTCACCCAGGCTGGAGTGCAGTGGTGTGACCTTAGCTCACTGCAGCCTTGACCTCCTGGGCTCAGGTGATTTTCCCACCTCAGCCTCCTGAGTAGCTGGGACTATAGGCACCTGCCACTATGCCCAGCTAATTTTTGTATTTTTAGTAGAGACGGGGGTTTCACCACATTGCCGAGGCTGGTCTCGAACTCCTGACCTCAAGTGATCTGCTGCCTCGGCTTCCCAAAGTGCTGGGATTACAGGCGTGAGCCACGATGCCTGGTCGTAATAATAATATTATTAATATTATAACAACAGAATAAAATAAAATATCCATAAGCCCATACTGATGTAATTATTAATAACTGAATAAGTGAGGAAAAGGGATAGTTTTTCTCACAGCAGAATGTTAATTAACGTATACAGAAGGAATGATGGAAACAGAAAATCATGATCAGCTAAACCCTACAGTAGTAACTGTTACAGGCAGAAGCCAACAATGGATGCTAAAATTAGTGGGTGAGGAGATGTCGGCATAGACTCAAAGAGACTTATTAATTAGAAAAGAAAAAAAATAGCAACTTTTTAGTGAAGAAAACTGGCAGCACCTTAAGGAAGTGATCAAAGTTAACATTACCAGCAATAAGACAAAATGATACCATGTACCCCTGCTTCACTGACATGATGTAGTTAGAAGAGCACCACAGTTTCTGTGGTATTCCTGACAGAAATACACAGCCTCGGTGGAATCCCTAGGAAACATTAGACAAACTCAAACTGATGGACGTTCTACTACACTGGCTAGTACTCTTGACAATGTGCCCAGGAAAGACACAGACAGAGTAACTGTCACAGATGGAGAAGGCTAAGGATACTTGACAACTAAAAGCAATATGGGAAACTGGATCATAAAGAGGACCTTCATGGCAAAACTAGAGATACTGGAATTAGGTCTATAGCTTAGTTAATAATAGTGTTATCTGTGTTAATTTTCAGTTTTACTCCGGCTTTGAGAGATGTTGGCATTAGGGGAATCTGAGTGAATGGCACATAGGGAACTCTATCATTTTTATAATGTTCTGTAAGTTTAAAGTTATTTAAAAAGAAAAAGATCTATGGCATATATAAATATTTGATGACCATAGTTTCATGGATTCATAACTATTCACCAAGCTAAATTACTACTACTACTAAGTTAGAAAACCTTGAGAGAAAGTGTAAGTCTTCCCTGTCTGCAATCTCTACCACTTGTTTATACCTTTATAATGAGTGTTCCAATTGATATGCTAACATGGTTTTTTCACCCATGACAGTCCATTCCAAGAGAACAGGGACCAAGATATAGTTGCTTCTACCTTGTGACTTGCATATTTTTGTCAAAAGTAAATGCTGTCTGGTATAGTGCCATGTGCCTGTAGTCCCAGCTACTTGGGAGGGTGAAGCAGAGGATCGCTTGAGCCCAGGAGTTTAAGGCCAGCCTGGGCAACAAATCAAGACCCCATCTCCAAAAATTAAATAAAATTTAAAACATTTTAAATTTAATATTCTTGCATTAAAAAGAGCTATAATAAAACAAAAAAAATACATCCTAAAATAAATAGTTTTAAAAAGTAAATGCTGAGTGCATTGCGAATGAGTGAACAATATGTAAAAGATCTCAATACTATAGGAATTATTTACTTACGCTCCACAAAGGAAGTAAAGAGCATTCGAAACCTGCTAAGCCGACTACCTTCATCTGCCCACATTCGAATCACTCCAATTCCTGTTTTAAGCATTACATCATTGGCCACAGTGCTGCAAAACTTGGCCTTCAGGTTTTCAATAGAACTGCTTCCATCATAGACTGCAACGAAGTTTCTCTTGCATTCATTTGAGTGCTCCATTTGATAATCTAGGAACCTCAAATAAATCTGTAGTATTAACACAAAAACACTGCTTTTAAAAAGATACATTAATTTGAATTTTTCCATTTCTATTTTCCACAGACAACATGGTACACCAAATAGTAACAGCTGACAGAAAACCATAATAGATAAATGGCTGATGCCTAATAGTTAGAGGAACTAAGATTAATGATCTGTTTCTCTGGTTGTTTTAACAATGGAACCAAGCATTAAGGAAGTTACTTTGTGTTTTGTCTATAAAGAGAAGAAACTTTTTGTTCACAAGGCATAACTATCTCACATTTTTCTCATTATAAAAGCAATCTCATGGTACTGGACAGGGGAGAAAATAAAATAATCACTCATAATTCTATTATTTCAACAATGCATGTGATTGGTGAATTTCTTTTCAGTTTTTCTGCACATTTAAAAAACCTGTGTTTAATTGTAAGCTATACACATCCTACTTTAGCTGTATCATATAAAAATGTTTTTATCTGTATTCTTAGCCATACCTATTCCCAGATGTCCTATTATTTATTTACACAATATCCTACTGTTCTACATGGTTGCTTTATGATTTCACCTCTTAACAATATCTGCATTTTCAGACAGGCAGACATCAACTGTACTATCAAAGGAAGCTGTTAGCATCCCCCCATTCAAATTTTATAGCTAAATGGTACTAAGTTATTTCCTAAACACTCTCGATCCATTGTTGTTTGACAATTTCTCTTACATTGTGAACTTGGATTTTAAACATTAATCTCCAGAAGAGCCTAATGAAGTAGGTATCACGTTTTTTTTATTTTTTATTTTTTTTTTGAGACGGAGTCTCACTGTGTCTCCCAGGCTGGAGTGCAGTGGCGCCATCTCGGCTCACTGCAAGCTCCGCCCCCCGGGTTCACGCCATTCTCCCGCCTCAGCCTCCCAAGTAGCTGGGACTACAGGCGCCCGCCACCTCGCCCGGCTAGTTTTTTTTTTTTTTTTTTTTATTTTTAGTAGAGACGGGGTTTCACCATGTTAGCCAGGATAGTCTCGATCTCCTGACCTTGTGATCCACCCGCCTCGGCCTCCCAAAGTGCTGGGATTACAGGCTTGAGCCACCGCGCCCGGCCGGTATCACGTTTTTTTGTGGGCAGAGATGAATCTGTTATTCGGTGGCAAGGATTAAACCCAGGTTGGTCTGACTCTAAATGTGCGTCCTTCCCATTCCATGAGGTGCTTTACATACTCACACAGTGTTCCCTGTTTGGGCTCTAGTTGCTCATATGTGACTCTACAATTAAAATAAAATTTGAGTGAGTAAATAAAGATTACCTTTGAATTGCCATTCAAGACATCTAATGAGTATTCACTTCCTAGCTATTACTCTGAGGGAGCAGTATGCCACCCCTACCCTTTAATTCAAAGGGATTAATAAAACAAAAATGTTATGTCATATATTCTCCCCCACTCCACCAAATACCTTGATGGCATAACACTAAGAGAGAACAACTTACAAAATACAGCTTAAAGAATTAAATTTTGACTAAATAATTTTGGTTTCTTTGAAATGACTGGTTCACCACTTCCGTGAGAGTGGTGGAAAATTGGTAATGAAATGGGATTTCCAGTTCAAAACTTTACAAACTCTTCATGCATGTATTTTAACATAGAAGCAATGTTTTCTTAAATACATCACCAGTTCTCATTAGTTTTCCATCACTTATATAACCCAAACCCTCTGCTCACACTCTGTGGTAGGGAGCACTAATGCTGTAATAACTTCCCTTTTCCACTAGACTGTGATGTCTTCCAATGGAAGGTCACTGGCTCAGTTTCATCCAGCATAATTCTTGCTCATGGCAGGCAATGAGAAAGTGACTAGGCTTGTAAAATTATGACTTGGTAGAAGTATCAGTAAAATAATCAAGCTGTCTCAAGTATTTATATTTACTCTCTGCTTTTCTCTTAATCCAAATAAATACGGTATTATATAAGGCTATAGTAAATGCTCTTCAAAGACATATTTTTTAAAAAACATGAAGATAAATTATAATAAATCATAGCACTTTTCTATTGTAAATATTGAATTGTTTAATTCAACAAATTTTTGGGAAATATTCATAACGTAAATCTGACAAATTGAAATGTTGGGAGAAGAGCATGAACTACTTTTCTTTTACTCCAGATTGCATGAGAAGGGATCTTTTACTTGCATCTTTTATCAAGTAAGTGACCTCTTACCCTATCCCTGTATCCTACCCAGGGAGGCAGGGCAAGTTACCTGGATGGTGGGAGTATGGTTTCTTTCTCCCTCCCCCCATAGGAAGTGGGACTGGGTAGGCTGGTCTGCTCTGCAGATGTGAACTTTCCCTGGAGTGGAATGGGCTGTTCTAGACTTCGGTGAGAGGTAGAACTGGTGGGTAAGGAGTTGGCAACACTAATTAGATTATCTCTCTGCGTTGCTCTTTCTATCCTAGCTTTCACTATGGTAAAGAGGCTTTTCCGACTCCCTACATGCTGACACTTTTATTTCTCAATTGGTTCAGCACTCCAGCAGAGAAAAGGGATGCTATTTATTGGAGCCTCTGAAGACCCCAACAGAAATGAAATCCCCAGAAAGCTACTATCATGAAAAGGCCACTGATAAAAGTGGACTAAAACACTAATGTATACTCTTAAACACCAATGCCTTCTTTTGTATATTTATTTTTTAAATATATTTTTAATTTAACAAATAGAGACAGGGTCTTGCCATATTGTCTAGGCTGGTCTTGAACTCCCGGGCTCAAGTGATCCTCCTGCTTTGGCCTCCTGAAGTGCTGGCACTGCAGGCATGGGCCACCATGACTGGCTTCCTTTTCATATTTATAAATGGATATTTTTCTTAAACATCACCCATTAACTAGTTTCTCACATTTAGTATTCAAGGCTTATGGTGACCTTTAACATTTAATTTAGATTTCTTAAATAAAACCATCTATTTACACTTTTTTTTGGTTTCCTTTTTTTTAGCCAGAGTCTCACTCTGTCTCCCATGCTGGAGTTCAGTGGCATGATCGTGGCTCTCACTGCAGCCTCCATCCCCCAGATTCAAGAGATTCTTGTGCCTCAGACTCCTGAGTAGTTGGGACTACAGGCGTGCACCACCATGCCTGGCTAATTTTTTGTATTTTTAGTAGAGATGGGGTTTTGCTATGTTGCCTAGGCTGGTTTTGAACTCTTGACCTCAAGTGATCCACCTGTCTCAGCCTCCCAAAGTGCTGGGTTTATAAGCATGAGCCACTGTGCCTGGCCTATTTACACATTTAAACATTTAAAATTTTAAAATTTGATCCAATTCCCATGTCAACTGTATAATTTTTTTACCTTTAAATAATGATTTACTTTTATTAAAAGCAATACAACATTCTTCTATAGTCAATATTCCAGGTAATACTCCTAAAAAATTTGTGAATATGGAATTATCTTTTCATGGAATATTTCAATTTAGAGTAAGGAGATCTAATAAATATTGTTTAATTTCACTTATTTAATGCACATTTAATATTTTCATACTTACATATCTATAAAAATATGTTGTATTGTTCCATATATTTTAAAACCTCATACCAATAATAGAAATAAATCACTGTGTATCCATTCTCCTATTGGGCATTTAGCTTGCTTCTACTTTTATAATTAGCTAATATTGCTGTAAACATTGTTGTCTTCTCATTATGCATAGGTATGACAATTTCATTTGGGTATAAATCTAGAAGTATACTTGTGTGGTAGCATGTGACTATTTTCAGCTTTACCAGAGCACATGTGAAATAGCTCTCCAAAGTGGTTGTACCAATTTATATATATTTTTTCTCTTTACAGTTGAATTCTAACGAGACAATTTATACTTCTAAAGCAAATTCTTTGAGTCTGCTTGCTTTACTCAATCCACTACTCAGTCCTTGCTGAGACTTCAAGAACAGTTCCACAACTCACTCAAATTCTCCTGTGCTGTTACTGTGCAGTCAAAACCCATCTCCAGTCTTCATCCCCGGTAAGCAATGATCTGTTCTTTGTCCTGTAGTTCACTTTTTCCAGAATTTCATATAAATGAAATCACACAGCATGTATCCTTTGAGTCTAGATCATTTCATTTAGCATGATGCATCTGGAGTTAATGTAGCTATAGTTTGTCCCTTTTTATTGTTGACTAGATTTTACTATATGGATGTACCACAGTTTATTTATTTATTTATTTTTTGAGATGGAATTTTTGCTCATCATCCAGGCTGGAGTGCAGTAGTGTGATCTGGGCTCACTGCAACCTCCACCTCCAGGGTTCAAGCAATTCTCCTGCCTTAGCCTCCCAAGTAGTTGGGATTACAGGCACTGCCACCAGGCCCAGCTCATTTTTTGTATTTTTAGTAGAGACAGGGTTTTACCATGTTAGCCAGGATGGTCTTGAACTCCTGACCCCAAGTGATCCCCCCGCCTCAGCCTCCCAAAGTGCTGGAACTATAGGTGTGAACCACCGCACCTGGCCTATTCTTTCAAAAGCTAAAGAACACTTGAAACATTTCTAGTTTTTGGTTATTACAGATAAAGTTGTTACGAATATTTACACACAGGTTTTTTCCATGAACATAAGCTTTCATTTCTCCCGGGTACCCATCCAGAAGAGACTGCTGAGTCACACAGTAACTTTATAGGAAACCACCAACCTGTTTCCCAGAGCGGCTCTATCATTTTGCACTCCTACCAGGAATGTATCCGAGTTTCAGCTGCTCTACAGAGTTCCCAGCACTGAGTGATTTTTCTAAATTACAGTTATTCTAACAGAGAATAGTGCCATCTCATTGTGGTTTGAATTTGCATTTTTGTAATGATTAAATCTTCTGTGGTGAAGTATCTGTTAAAATCTGTTTTGTAATTGGGTTTTGTTCTTATTGTTGAGTTTTGAGTTCTGGATGAAAGATATCTTTTCATAGGTGATTTTTTTTTTCTCCCAGTCAGTGGTTTTTTTTTTTCCCCCACTCAACAGTGTCTTTCACATAAAA